GGTTCATGGGGTCACGAAGAGTCGGACATGACTTAACGACTAAACAACAACAACAACATCAACAAATGTGTTTTTAGCATTAACTGGGCAAGGCATTCATTTGTTCCAGAAAACTTAGTAGAAACTTGAGGATGTCTGGAAAGAAAAGATATTTCTAGTCATCCAAAGTAATTATCATGATCTGTTTATATCAGGGCCCATCTCCTGTATAATATATACACCACATAGTGTCTGCCAATTGTGGCAGGTAGAAATTTGATAAATGTGTGCCTGTTGGTTGATCTTAAATGGTCCTTTGAGCAATTTCCTCTCCAATGTAATTATTTCTACTCATTAAACATAGGACCTATATGGAAAAGGTTCTTGTACTCTCCATTTTGACATACATATTGAAGTTTTCCACGTATGTGTGAACAAGGTCTGATGACAACCGTCTGCGGTACAGACAAAAACAGTCCAAGAGAGTTAGAACTACTTTTACAAAACATGTTTCCGTACCAGCAATACATATAATACCATTCCTGCTGATCTCAAAATTGTTGTTAGCCAACTAGGTGGACAGCAAGAAAAGAAGCACTAAACACTGCCTTAAAGGTTTCTTCATCTTTTCTCTGAGCTTATTCTTATCTTGTTTAGAAAGCTCATCCAGTTTGGTTTGATGAAGGGCCTTATTCGGCGACTGCAGAAATATCCTGTAAAAATAGCTCGGGATGAAAGAAGTCATCCAGCTCGACTGTACACTGGCTGCCATAGCTATGATGAGATTTGTTGTAAAACAGGTAAGAAATCATTCCCTGTATTCATTTACTCACAACATATGCAGTAACTTATTAATAGATAACAAAGTAGATAAAGTAGATTTTAAAAATAATATTTTTAAAAGTAAATAGGAGTAACATAATATTAAACAATTCTAAAGCCAGCCCAATCTTTAGATTACTTGGGAACTATAAATCTATTTCTTTTGTCAGGGGATTATTGCAACAATAATGGTATCAGCCATAATTAAATGCTAACATTCTAGGAAAGAGGATGGTAATGCAATTATTTGCATGCTTATGTTTTATCAACAGCACCTGTAGATCTTTGCCATAGCTATAGGTAGAGTCCTAACTTAGACATGGGGCTTTCAAATACAAATTGGGAGCCAGTTGCTCTGTGATTAAACTTTCTAAAGGTGTTTTAAGGTTATCTTTGTGTGCAGACCTTGTAAGGGATTTTTTATCCCTAATGAAATGTAATATAAATACAAACTAGAAAATAGATACCCACACAGAAAGAAGCCTAACATCAAGAACATAACCTTTCTCCACAACTATATGCGCTCTCTCCCTACCCACCCACCCACCCCCATCTTTTTCTGGGAGAAGGAAAAAATACAGGCTTTAAGTGAAGTTGGAAGATCTTTGGCTCTCCATAATCAATCAAAAAGCGCTGTATGATCAGGTTAGAAACCAGAGGAAGATTGAGCATCAACAGTTTCATGAAGTCCCATTGTCCACTACAGTACAGGACTCCAGAAGAAACTTATTTGCATTTTGTCCTAATTTATTAGAACATACTTTTTTTTCAGACAAAACTAAAACATTCTGAACCAAGATGATAGCAAAGAAACAGATACAACAACTGGTATTCTCTAGTAATAAGCTCTGTACATTTGAGCTTTGTATCATGTCAATGAGGATTGTGGGGAATAATATGCAGGGATAAATCCCTTCAGGGCCATAATGTTAAGTGGGCAGAAAGGTCGAATATAAATATATAAATAATTTCTGGTATAGAAATATATAATACATAAATTGGTCTACTTTCCTCACTTCTTTCAGCTTTGTTTAGAAACTGGCTGCTTCTTTCGGTCTCTTTCCTTATTTTGCCTAAGCATTGCAGATGGAATTATACTAATGCCCTTTCATCATTATTTTGTGATTTCTCTAGGAATGAGCTATCGGGAATTGGATGAAAGATTAGAGAATGATCCCAATATAATTGTTTGTTGGAAATGAGCCTATTCAAGAAATGGGATGGTTATTATGCCCTGCTAACTTTTATTTGGGCTGCATGAGACAGGACTCTTCTGGCCCCAGGACTCTTCTGGCTCATGAAAAGCAGCATGGCTTAAACTGTGGCACTCCCTGAAAAAGTGTGGTAAATGGATTTGACCCTCTTTGATCAGCAGAGATGCAGAACAAGGCCTCTTCTATGGGCGGTTTAAAAATACACAGGGGTATAAAGAAGCTTTGGAAGGCTATGGTGTTGAGCAGTGGATAACCCATGGGTTGAAAAATAGTTTGGGAGGAATTGGAGTGGAAAAATGTCTAGCAGAGAATGCTGTACAGTAAATCCTCCCCCTTAATCTGCTGCTTCTCAGCTGAAGACAGCATAGTAGCTCCTCAGTAGGCAGAAAAATCTATTCTGCTTATTGCTGTCTCGTTCTTGTTTTTCCCCATAACTAATAAATATCTTTGTCTATCATAATGTACCTTCTTTTTTAACAAACGGGATCAGGATGTCTCATATCCACTTGAAATCCTTTAAGAGTTTTGACAAAAAGCTGCAGATTGTAATATCTGCTGTAATAAATCATGGATAATCATGCTAATAAAAAGCAAGTGCATTCTTTTTCTTGGGTAAAATACTGCAGTAAAATTGTGGAAATAAAGCTGCAGCATAGTTATATTTAATATAATTGGGCTGAGCCTATTTACCTTGTATACTTTTCATAGCTTTTTAGTTATGAGAAAGAATAATGGGCCTCTTGTATTTCATAAAGCTCACGTAAATCAGAATCATTTTTCCATGGAAATGTAATGCAAATGCAGCAATTGAAAGGGAAACTAAATGTAATAAAAATAAAATAAAAAAGATTCTTATTGTGTAGAATCTCTAATTCATTATTTGATATCTTCCTCTTATAAATGGATCAAAGCTTTTCCATCTGAACCGAAGTTGATGTATATGTGTGGAATTTTGATAAAACATAGGTGCTTTCACAAAATGGCTGCCGTGGTAGAGATAGACACTGCCAAATATCTGCAGTAGTCCTCACTTATTGACCGCAATTGGAATTGGCAACTCTGTCGCTTTATGATGCGGTCATAAAGTGAAACCACATGGCCATGCTGACTTACGACAGCAGTTTTGGCTGCAGTTGTTAAGCAAATCACACGCGGTTGTTAAGCACTTGCGGCTTCCTGCTGGCTTCCCCACTGTCTTTGCTTGTCGGAAGCCAGCTGTGAAGGTTGCAAATGGTGACCACGTGACATGGGACACTGTGACTGTTGTGAATGCATACTGGTTGTCAAGTGCCCTAATGATCATGTGAGTGTGGGGATGCTGCAACAGTTGCAACTTGGAGGACCAGTCTAAGTCTCCTTTTTCAGCACCATTTTTACTCTGAACAGTCGCTGAACGAGTGATCGGTAAGTGACGACTACCTGTATTAATTTGAAACTACACTGGGGATGTTTCTCCCACAAGACCTCCCAGAAAAACTTTATCACCTCTACTTACCTGTCTTTTTTGGGGGGGATCACTTCCAAACACTGTATCCCTCCCTATAATTTTCATTTTCTAAGAATGCTCTATACACACACATACACATACTTACATACGTAGGGGATCCAGAGGCATTGCTGGAAATAAAAACATTGCCTGAGGCAAATGTTCTTTGCAGCATGCTAACTTCCCATTTTATTGTTTTAAATTAATGTAAAGTATGTTAATGTCCACATATGCTATGTTATATGTAAATACAGTAGCATATTTATATATTTGGCAAATTATCCAATTATAATTATAATAAATAATAAATTTAATATGTTATAATAAATAATTTATTTAATATACA